TTTTTTGTGGTTGGTGCTTTTAATTAACGACGGAAAGGATGTTAGGTCAAACCATTTTCACTCATTGTGAACATTTCTAATTTGTCTGTTTCTGCATTGCTGGTCTCTTTCTCTGAGCAATCGCTGGACTAATGTCTTTCTCTTGGACTGAAATGTGATTGATTTAACGGTTGATTCATCCTATCAAGCTGAAACCTGCTTCAAAAGTACTGAAAAAATATTTATAAAAGTTCTCATTTCAAGGTGAACCTGGATTTTAAATTTGGTTTTCCAGGCCAAAGAAAAAACAATGTAATAGAAACAGAATTTAGATGCTGATGCTGTTACCCCAACCAACTGGAAAAATCATGGAAATTCTTTTATGTATTTAAATAAGTGATCTAATATTAATGACACTCTTTCTCTTTCTCTCTATATAGTGTCTCCTGAGGCTTTGGGGTTCTTGTCTGGCATTGGCGTGTTCATCTTCCTTGTGATTGTACTCTTTCTTTACCTCAATAACAAACTGTCCCTTGAGAGTGCCAACCAACTGCCCAGCCTTGACCAGTACAGGAAGAGCACAGAGGCAGCAGGTTTGGGTTTGTTTTTCCTAAGTGTGCGTGCGTGCATGCATGTGTGCGTGTGTGTGCGACATACAGAGATCCCTGGATTTGGGCACTTTAGCCATGCTTATAATTTATAATAAATAATTAATTATATACACTACTGTTCAAAATGTTTGGGTCAGTAAGATTTCTATTCTATTTCTATTGAACTTTCTATTCACCAAAGAATTCTGCAAAAAAGTATCACGGTTTCCACAAAAATATGAAGCTGCACAAATGTTTTCAACATGAATGATGATAAGAAATGGTTCTTGAGCAGAAAATCAGCCTATTAGAATGATTTCTTAAGGAGACTGGAGTGATGATGCTAAAAATTCTTTTCCATAAAGTTTTTCTATAATACATTTTTAATTGGTTAAAATGCAAGAAAGTTATTTTTTAATAATATTTCACAATATTACTGTTTTTACTGTATTTTTCTGACAGACCCCAAACTTTTGAACTGTAGTATTGAAATAGACCTAATTTTTTATTTTTAGATATTTTTAATTTTTCAGGACAGTACTTTGTACAGTATTTTTACTGTCCAAAAAAATGATTTTGGACCTTTCTGTCATGACAGAAGGGTCCAAAATACTTTTAAAGTTGACTATATCGGATGTGTAACTACTGATATTAATAGTTCAAAATGGAATATAGATGTTTTCCCACGGGGTGAACTGGTTGAGTGTTAGTTAAAATGCAGAGAAACAGAAATTGAGAATTAACAGTACAGTATGGATCATCACAATGGCTGTAAGTGCTTGAGTCTGTGTTGAACTCTTCACACTGGTATTTTTAACACAATAGAGGTCATTCGTTAAAAATTGATTTATTTCTATTTCTTTCCTGTAGTTTAAAATAACTTCATTACATAACATTCTCTTATGACTGAGACCAAACTGAGACCAATTTTATGAAGCTGAGAGGTTCAGGATAACATGAGTCCAAATTCCCAAACACTGCGTGACAATCTCCAGAGAAGTAATTATCTGTTTAACTCCAGCTTAGAGTCTGTGAGAATTACTAACAGAGCTTAATTAGCAATACTTAGGACTTGGAGATGTTTGTTAGACATGATTTATAGGCTGTAAACTCCTTCCTGTTTGTCTGTCAGACACGGTGACGTGCTGAACTGGTTTGTTTTGTGATCTTCAGCGCAGGACATTGATCGGAGAGGACAGATGCCACTAGCCAATTATTAGATCAATAGTATATGGGTGTGGGTGTGTGGGTGAAATCATGGGGATCATGTTGCAGCCCTGAGAGGAAATCTGGGCAGAAATCCAAATACACTCAGGATCAAATGTCCACATTGTCAGTATACATGCGTGCACACACACACACACTCACACAATGAAACTGGCTTGAATAAACGAAATGAACCATGCACATTTGTACACACAACTACCTTTTGTTTAAAACATGAAGTACTCAATCACACCTACGCACTTCTACTATTGACAGGGGCACTTAATGCCCACACACACATCCTACAGACAGGTTCTGGATCCATGGCATGACTGTGCTGCCCACACACAGGGCTTTACATAACTCTGCTCAGAATCAGTGGCATAATCAGAATGTCATTTACTGGATATGTATGTTTGCATTTATTTGACCTGGTGGAGCACAATAAACATGGATGTGTAATAAACATGATATTGTCATGTTGTAGTTGCGTAGTGTAGTGGTTCTTCATTTACTGTTTATGTTGTGATCCAAAAATCAGTTGCAAATCTGTTATGCTAGGGTCATGTGAACAGTAAAAAAAACAATGCTGAAAGCAAATATAAAATGCATTTACAATAAAAAAATACATCACCATTCCTTTTAAAAGCTTGCGGTTGGTATATTTGTTATTTATTACACGGCTCTGTTGAATACTTGATCCTGATTGGTCAGACAAACATTCTCTGTCATTCCCCGATAACAACCACTGAAATGGATAACGGATAACCGGGTTACTGATGTCAGCAGCGCTATACGCTTGAACGTTTTTTTCTTTGTGGATGTTTTGTGTTTGATTAGCTAATAAAATATTAAAACTCAGTCAAATTAATATTTTGTGCGCAGTTATTTAACTATGCCATCCAGTATCGTGAACTCCCTCTCTCGTTTCATACAAATGCAGCTACTGCCATTATTGCGCCTATTGTTTTGTACACTGTTGGATTATAAGTAGGGATGCACGATATATTGGCCACCAATCGGTGTTGGCCGATGTATGTTAATTTTTTTATGTTATCGTTATCGACCCGATAAGAAAATTTGGCCGATAAATTAAAGTTGATGGTTTGAATTGCTTTAAATATGATGGAACTCTTTAAAAAAAAAAAAAAGGAAAATACAGTTTAGTGCATCATCGGTTATCGGCTTTCAAATATAAAGATTATCGGTAATAGTTACATGCAAATATTTTCATATCTGTGCATCCCTAATTATAACAAACATGTGCAAGACCTTGCTCTTTCTGTGGAGGCTTTGTGTTTAAAGACCTAATAAAGTTATTCGAGTCTGATCAATATTTATTGTCTAATTATTTACTTATGTGGCAAAAGTAGCCGAGTAATAGGCGGGATAAAGTACATCCAGCCATTTGTTATCTCAGAATAAACCCCTTCAAGCGGATGCCTGATCCATCCTGTCTGGGTTTATTCTGAAATGATAACCAGCTTGGAGGTACATTATCCTAGCCTGACTTCGTCATACTCATATTCTTGTCGGAATATGAGTCTGAAACTGCTCCGTAGGGCTTTGATTATGAGGCGTGTCTTAACCGAACCAGGAAAAAAAAAAAAACAAACTCTGCACTCAATTGGATAGTCGGTAAACCTACAACCCATCAGGGCAACGCAGTAAGTCAACTTCTTTGCATACAGTTGTCAATTACAGAACTTACTTATTTTAGAAGTAAAATAACGAGTGTTGCTTCTTTTACTTGGTCCTCCATGAGTGCGACCAAAGGAGAAACCACAATGACCACAGGCTTTTCATTACGTCCCATCTTCTTAGCGACCGTCAGAGCCTGCTGATAAGTTACACTTTTGCCGAATCAAGTAGGAAGGAAGGCAAAAATATCTTTCCGATCGACAAATGCATTGATTGCAGTTCTCTGTTTGTCTATTAAAATGAATGCGCTGTCGATTTATTTTACAAAAGACGTGACAGCGGAATCTATACATCTCAATTCTCCAGCTGCAGTCATCTTTGACAAGCGCTCTTTGATAACGTGATGACTACGTCCTTGCAGATCATCTGTCCATCATCGTATAAAGCCCGCCCTGGCAATTTGATTGGCCCGAACTTTTTTTGCCTGATCATAATTACTCCTCAATGGATCGAGTCCAGACTGAACTTCCCGACCAAAAAATGTTGTGGGCAGAGTTCGGGCTGGCATCCAGACTAACATTATCCTGTACATATATATATTTGAAAGTCACTTATGGTCAGCAAGGCTGCATTTATTTGAAAAATACAGTAAAATCAGTAAAATTGTGAAATATTATTAAAATAAAAAAACAAAATCAGTCTTCAGTGTCGCATGATCCTTGAGAAATCATTTTAATATGCTGATTTGGTGCTCATGAAACATTTCGTATTATAAATTGTAATATAAATTTAAACAATAATTTTTATAAATTTAAACAATTTATTTTTATAAATTAAACAATTGTGTAGAAACAGTGATTTTATTCTGATAGAAATATATATATATATATATATATATATATATATATATATATATGCGTGTATATATATATTTTGCAGCTTGTTTTATAGATGGCTACCTTTTTTAAAAATAGCATCTTGACTGAAGTTTGCCTACTTTAAATTATGAGTACCTTGTACCTTGACAAAAGTAGCATTCCCACCATTGGTGCAATGAAATTTGGGTCCTGTTCGAAAACTAGTTGAGAACAACAAGGATAATGCCTGTTATACAGTATGTCGCTGTATACGCAGAACTCAAAATACAACTTATATTTAATAGTAAATATTCACTATTAAATTGTTTTTAGGTGTGAATGTTCACTGATTGACTGTGACGGTTTGTAATCATGTCTTTGCTCTGAAGTGCTGCATGGATGCTAGCCATGATTCTTCTGTCTCTGTCAAAGTGGATGTCAGGTCATTTAGGTATTATGGGCACCCTCCTCTGCACTTATGATGGGTGTATTCAACTTCACACCCTGCCAGAAAGGACCTCCCTTGTTGTGGTGTTCTCTGTCTAAAAAATATGAACAGAACTCATTTGCCCTCTGTCTCAGGAAAAAAAAATCTACTTATGTCCGCTGCCAAACTGATCAGACTCCAGTAGAGTAAACATGGAAACGTCCACGAAAACTCTGAACCTGGTGTCTGTGGTTCCCTGAACCATCTGCTGCTTGCATTACAGCTGCATAAACTACAATCATTATATATAATTACAATTATACATCGTAACATACGCACATATGATTGTGTTCAGAGGCAAATTGGTTCATTCCTGGTTCAGTCTGTGTGTGGTTTCTGGTGGATTTTGGAAAAGCATAAATTACTGTCATGGTGAGAGTTTGATCTCTCTGACTCACTTCACCTGTGTAGCAGTTGTTTGGCAGAGCATGCTGGGATTGCTCACCTCCTGAGAGACTTTTGTGTGCTGTTATTTAGTTCTTGAATCATGATTTCATAAATATGGAAATTATGGGTTATTTAATGATGATTTATTTTTTCATTTTTTCATTTTTTTTCTTTTTTCAGGTGTTGCGTAGAATATTTTTCGCCATTTAAAATGGATTTTAACCGTAGATTTAAAGTAGTCTATGATGTCAACACATTTTGTTTATGGAGGATTTTGAAACGACTGTTCCATCCATGCTAAATTTATGACTGGCCTGGAAAATGGGACATTTCAGATAAATCATAAACTAAGCAATTAAATAAATACCTGCAACATGGCATTTTTTAAGAGCTTCCAGCAAAGACTCCCCTCCATGTCTGCCATGTTGGAATCAGTGACGGAGAAGGTCGATGACTTGGCTTATGCGCTGAGCGACGTCACGTACACAGTGAGCGGTGAACTCGCCGAGCATGTGAACACCATCATTCACAAAGTCCAGGCCGAAGAGCTGAAGAGGATTCGTAAGAAAGAGGCGGAAGAGAAAGAGGCTTCAGCACGGCAGGCCCAGGAGAGAGATCCTTTTCTGTATAGGACTGAAATCCAGACCCAGGCTGCATCTGGCCTAGTGAAGGACCCTCAGCCTCAGACAGCAGGCGAAGACAATGGTTCAGTGCTGTCAACTGAGACCTCTACAGAAAGTGACCTCTCACAGACTCCTCACACAAATGAATCCGGTGTTAAAGAGAGAACCGGCTCCACTAAATTAAAAACATCAAGAAGCCCAGTGGATGATGAGAAGAAGAAATCTAGCAATAGTGAAAGATGTGTTGGAGGTGAGAGAATGAAGCTGCTAACTTTTCCTTCCACTCTCTGAACCTCATTGGATGACTTTGTCCAAAAAATGTTCACAATCTTTTCTTTCTTTTGAATCTGTCTGGACTCGTTTGAACTGAACTGATCTGTCATGTCTGTCATCTGTTGGGAATGATTTCTGCTGCGGTCAAAATGATGTTTTGCTTTCTCGCCATTTTATCTCTTTGGGAAGTCTTGAACTCACTGTGTTTTTTGCTCTTCTTTCTGTCACTCTTTTATTTCTCTTTCTCTGTAAAAGTACAGGGGATTTGTTTTTCTTGCTTGGCCTCGATTTAACTGAACTTTCACAGATGTTAATTGGGAATTTTGGCTAAAAGAGGATATACATATTACTGTACTACTTGCATGTACCTTCTTTGAGTCCCATGTTATGTTAGAATGTGTTTTTATTGTTAAACCATATCGCCCTCTAGTGTTTGTGACAGAGGAAGATGTTTATCTGCTTTGTGGTGTTTGTTTTCTAGATTAGATTTCTAAATTCAATGAAGAATCTGATAACACAAAGAAGACCATCCAGTGTTATTTTACATTTGATTACATTAATTTCTTAAGTATTTCTCACCTGAATATAGCCTACTGTATACCCACCTGAAAAACTTGACGTTCTTTATTACATAATTATCTTATTCTATTGCATTTATTTGTGCTGTTGTTTGAAATTTGTTTATTTGTTCTTATTTTATTAGTCTTTTTACTTGTTTTTTTTTTTATGAAAATCAGAATCGGCAAAAATCGATCACGTTTACTAAAAAAAAAAATAGAAATCGGAAACATGAAAATTGCTGCATCTCTAATAAATCGGCTGTTGAGAGAAGTTGGAGAACATTTGACATCCATGAAATTTCCTCAAAATAATTTTTGCTTTCTTGTGCTTAAAAAATACATTTTCACTTTTTCTTCTACTCTTTCTCCCCCTCAGATAAGAGTTATGTGAATGCAGACTATCACTGCTCGTCGTCAGACAGTGATGACGAGGTGATTGGCCAGTACCAGGAGGCTGTGTCTCGATCACAGGGTCTCCGGGGGGGCTCAGCGGGGACTAACTCACACCACCAGAAGGACTATGGCTGGGACACACGGAAGAAATACTGCCCCCTAGCGGCTGAATATGATGGCTACAGCAGTGAGGCCTCCGCAGATGATGGTAAATTTACATTTCACACAATAAATGGCTTTCTCACAGCTATATGGGATTGGTTGTGTCTGTGCTAGCGAACATCTGCTATTAATACTGATGGGAGGATCACTAGCGAATAGCTTTCTATAGAGCACTGTGGATAAAATACAATATTCTGTTGTTAGTACATTATGTGAAATGGATTGCTAAATCATGTTGATTTTAACAATGGTGGTATTTTTATACGCTAACATTTAAAAGTTTGGTGTCTTTAAGATTTGAGTCTTTGAAAGATGTTTCTTATGCTCATCAAGGCTTAATTTATTTGATCAAAAATTGTACATCAAAACAGGTTTATTGTTAAATATGAATACAATTTCAAATAATGTTTTTAATTTTAATACATATTAAAGTAAAATTTATCCCTGGGATGGCACAGCTGAATTTATCACCATTACTCCAGTTTACAGTGTCACATGATCCTTCAGAAATCATTCTAATATACTGACTGATTATGTTCTGTTTTATTTTATTTTTCTCTCTATTTGCTCTGTTCCCGTATCATTGGTTACTCATTCACGTTCTAGTTTGTTGCTATGGTTATTCATTGATTATTAGATTCTGTTTATGTAGTTCCCTTTGCTTGTTGCCTGTATTTAGGTCCAGAGGTTCCCTAGTTCATTTGCGCATTACTCTCCAACACCAATGCGTTACAGTATGACAGACAGACCCTCTATAAAAGGGTACAACAAAAAGATGGACTTCCTTTGTTCAGCTGCTATACCTTGAGCAGAAAGAGCAGTGCCTCGAGGACTACATCCATGGATTTCAACATCGGGCAAGCCAAACTAATAGGGGATTATCATGCTTCCGCGTTTCATGGGCGGGATTTGTCAACTTTGTGCATGTCCACTTCCGACGCAGTTCAATATGTCAGCTATATATGTCACTGCTCTGTTCCACTTTGTAAATCTAACCAACAACGCCAACCCTACCTAAGTTTTCATGGATTCCTGACTGAATTGAGTATAAGAAAGAACTGGATTAAAACATTAAAATAAATCAAGGTAGCACGTTTGTTTGCAGCCGGCACTTTAGTGAATCAGACTAATTTACCAGGGATGCTGTATAAATAAACTTAGTGTAGTCCTTCATCAGTTCGCCAGCGAGATCGGTGATTCAACGGAAGTGGCAGTGCACAAAGATCACTGAATCCGGAAGTCCTACGTATCAGCGTGATAATCCCCTATTGTCCTAATCTCTCCTTGTGCGCCTTCATGTATACCAGCTCAAACTAGTTTAGATAGTGCCCACCTGCTCGGTGTTGGTCCTCGAGAAACTTTCACCAACTTCGTGGAGTGAGTGCAGGTCCGAGTACATAGCATATGCCAGAACACATCGCAAACAGAGAGCTCGAGCGAGCTGCGATGTGCAAGCCAGATCCTGAAAGAAGGACCGAGCCAGCCATCACCCCAGAACCCGAGCCTCGTGAAACGTCTGACCAAGCGCTTGAGCTGGCTACATCGTCTGCCCCTCTGGGGTTGCTTGGGAGAGATGCTCCATTCCCTCGAAGCTTTGATTTGGTAGAGGATAAATTCTTGTTTCTCCCATTGACGCTGGTCCCGTCCAGCTTTTTCCCGGGTTTTTCTCTGGAGTTCCTGCCCACCACTCAATCCTTCGTCTCCGCCTTGGTCAGATGTCGCCCTGCCTACGCCATGGACTTACAAGCCGCCTGCTGTGCTCCATCTCTCCACCCGTTCGCTACGTCTGGCTCCGCCTTCCCTACGACTCCACCTCGGCCCTCAGTCCCACCAGCTCCACCTCAATCCTCAGGCACCCTTGCTCCACCTCGAATGCTCGTTGTTGTGGCTTTGCCTCAGCCTCCAGGACCATCTGCTTTATCTCTGTCAGCCAAGTCTCCGCCATGGCTCCTCGCTCCATCTACTCCACCGTGAGCTTTCATACTGGCTGCTCTCTAGATAACTCCCTGGCTACTTCTGCTCCTGGCTTCTCCCACCGTCATCGCCACCCTGGTTTCCTTCATCACCATTGCCTCTTTTTTCCTGCCCTCATTTTCAACTCATAGATTTACTGTAGATGCATGGATAGGACAATGTCAAATGATTGTGAAGATTTGCAGCTCTAAAGGTTAAAGGGATCAGAATAACTCTTTTTACTCCAGCATTGTTTAGAAATGACATGTGCAAAGTTTGGTGAAGCTACAAACACAGTTGGGTTCCTATAAAAAGGGACCTCTAAAATTCTTATTGACCCTAAACTTTTAAATGGTGAGTGGGCAAAGCAAATAGATTGAAACCCAAATAAAACCACCAGATGGCGCTGCTCAACTACAAATCCTCTGCTCAGGGTTGTTTGACATCTGAGTGTCCTTTTTTGAAGAAGAAGAACACAGTACAGACACAGTAGAAAAATCTGAATGAAACCTGTTTTCAATAAAAATGACCGTGGGTTGTTCTTTCCCTGGCAGGAGAGATTCTTACAGAGAGCACAGGGTTTAAGATCATGAATATATCAAATATCAACTGAATTTTGACATTTCTAGAAGAACACATATGGGCGTAATAAAATAAGCCAGAACACTTTTTTTTCTCCTTGCTTAAGATGAAAGATGAGAGAACAGAATAAGAGAGTTCTTGGCTCTGTTTTGCTCCTCACGGAACAGGAGAAGATCAAATGTTATTCTGTGTTTCGGAGGAAGATGATTGTCAGATATTATATCAGCGGATGATCAATGATCATTTGTAATTGAAATAATTAGGATTATTTATTATTATTATTTTTTTTTGTCCTTCCAATTGTCTATTCATTTGTCTTTATTCCATTCCGTGCCAAAATCCCTGCTGGAATCATTGCAGATGCTCAGTGCAGGAAGATAATGGATGATGATGAGGAGAAAGAATAAAAATGTGTCAAAGGGAATTGCTTTCAGAAAGAAAAAAGCAGGAAGCTGGTGGATATCTCTCTCTGATTTCACCCTCTGCTTCATTGAACTACTGCACAGAGAGACAGATAGAGCTGCATGCTTTTCTCTTGAGCTGTTTTCCTAGAGGCAGGAGAGGCTATAGCCTCAGGCTATCTGTATAATACATGAGGCGCTAACACGCACACACACATTTACATATACACTCACACACTCATGTTGCTTGAATACCCACAAGTACATATAAAAACACAAACCCATACTGTTTTGCACACATACTCACTCACATTTTTACACTCATACATAACAAATGAGCCGAGTGTTTGCTGTTGGAACTAAAGAGGGTTATACAACTTTTCTAAAGCATTAGCATTGCTATTCTGAGGAAGGTGCATGTTTGGTCCATGACCCCCAGAAAATGTCATGTTAGTAATCACTCAGTCATGTCCTCAATACTGAATATTATGGCATCAGATCAAACTGAATCATCAGAGATGTCTGACATGATAGTTGATCAAAACATTATAGAGATAGAGGGCACACTCTCTCATGCACACAGACAGACATTTTCTCTTGCTCTTGTTCATAGCCTGAGGTTAGAAATGGTGCAGTTTATGATCAAAGACGTCATTCAACATTGAGACAGAAGACAAACAGACGTGCTCTTCCATCATTGTAAACAGTGATGTTTCTTTCCTCCATCCTCATTAAAAGTGAACTTTTGATTCTGAGTTTTCATCTTCTGTTCCATACCTTGGTGCTTTTCCATAGGATTCTGAAATTGAAATGTTATGATTTAAAAATAAGCAAGGAATATTTCAGTTTCTGCACTCTTTTTAGGTCACTAATCAAATAAGTACATTTAAATATATATATATATATATACAGTATATATATATTTCACAGCATCAGCAATGTCTGAGGTGGCTCTTCCCAATAGTCAGAACCACTTATCACTGCCACACTCCCAACTGTGTGTGTGAGTGAGAGAGAGTGAGAATGCACTATATATATGAGATCGCTAAATCTTCCTGTCCTAGCCAGTAGCATGTTACCATGGCAACAGCCACTTGGTTCATTCTCTTTACAGAGCAGTTTATATTGTTGAGTACATGCAGGTAAATCACAGCACGCTTTGCCATTTATTTCAATTTCAGATTCTCATAAAGCCACTAGCAGCATCGGTGTATCCTCAAATGTCCTTGATTTTCTACATTTAAAAAGAGAAACGCAGATTTGTTTTATTGATCACATTCAGTGATTTGTATCTCTTGAAGGACAACTGATTCATTTATGAAGATGCAGGTGTAACGAATATGTCTACACTGTGCGTAAAAACATTGACCTTTTCTTGAGTTTAGCTAAGGTTTCAAAGAACCACACTTTTTTTTTAGACTTTACCAGAGACCTTTGAATACCATATAGTTTTCTGTATCGTAAATGACAAGCCTAGTCACATGACGTGTGTTGCTAAAGACAAAGGCTTCGGTTTCAGTCTCATGTAGGAGTGACACATGCATTAGAGTTTCTGAGATTAATACAATGTCATAGGGTCAATCCAAATGCACTTTCTAAGCCACTTACTGTAAGATGATATTTGTCCTACACTTTAACTTTTTGATATTGAACGCTGAGAACATTAAGCTAAATAACACTAAATGCATCTCTTTCACTTTGCCCTACATCAGTAAACTGTATCCAGCGGATGAGGCGGACTCCACCGTTGGACGAGCTGCAGCCTCCGCCTTATCAGGATGAGGATGGGTCACCACGTATGTCGTGCACACCCTCTGACCTGGGCGATGCCAAATGTGACCTTTCCCATGGGAGCGAGAGCCCAAGGCACAGCTATGGGAAATGTCCAAGCGAGGTCAGTGAAGCACAGGAAACAGAGAGTTTCCTTAACAAGGGCTTTGAAGAAGATGTACCCAGCGACAGCACAGCTGTACTCAGCCCAGAGGTGAGTGTTTGAGCAAAGAAGTACTTACCAAAATACTTACCTACAATAACACTGGTCTACAGCCAAAATGATTATGAAGAAAACATAACTTTTTTTTAAACTTTGATCAACTAATTAAAACTAATTCCAAGTCACTGAGAACAAAAATGATGCTTAAAATTGTTGATTGGCTCTAGTTTTCAAGATATGCTATTAGGTCATTACATACAACCCTTGATTTGAATGGTGGAGGTTCTGAGTAATAAAGAAAAGGGATCTCAATTTAAACCCGAAATGATTTCAAATACATCTTTGACTGGATCTATGAATAAATATATGAATGGGTTTGGACAGTTCTTGCTTTTTAGGCAAAACAATAAATGATGCAATCTGAAGCTGGTATTGCATCATTCATGATATTATTGTATCATGTTATACCTAGAAGGCATGGATGATGCAATCTTAACAAAGCTTACATCCGCTGAACAAATTGCCCTATCAGCTCTAGAAATCATAGTGGTGTGTTTCCCATACAGCGACGTAAGGCTGGTCAAACATTTGAAGATTTTAAAGGGGTAGTTCACTTTGAAATTAATTTTTGATTTTAGCTTACCTCAAGGGCATCCAAGATGTAGGTGTCTTTGTTTCCACAGTATTTTCAATTTTGATATTTTTCAGTCAAACCGTTGTTGTCTATCAGTCATATAATGGAGCCCGATGAAGGCCAGAGCCCATCAGAGTTTAGTTTCAACCCTGCTCCAACACACATACCTGTAGTTTCAAATAAGCCTGAAGAACTCGATGAGCTGGAGTGTTTACTTAGGGTTGAAGCTAAACTCTGCAGGTCTGTGGTCCTACAGGTACTGAGTTTTACACCGCTGTTATACTGTGTCATGCTCTCTTATTTGTCAGTGTTTCATTTTGCAAAGGGATACATTTCTATTTAGCCAAAGTGAGCAGAGATCCAGAGAGCCTCGTACTTTTTGAACAGTGCAGAAAACTTCAAATTTTGCCCATCAGTGTTTTCAGACTATTGCTAGATAGTGACAAGAGACTTCATTTAATGAATAGAGAACGAGCCAAGAAGCGCCTGAATAGGACTAAGCTATGTACATAATAGTTTTTTGCCTTTTGTTTCATAATAAATTTGATTTATATTAATTTGTAATTGCTTATAAATTTGATTTGTTGGAGGTTTAAAGTCTTAAATAAATAGGATAGATGAAAGGTACTATCTAAACGTAAAATATTATAACTTAAATATCCCGAAAACAGTAGCCAATCAGTTAATTCTCATATTTAAATTCAACACATCAAATTACATAATAAAAAGCACATTTTATCTCTAAAGCAGACGAGAGAATTGTAGACCAGTGTAATCTGGCAATTTCAAAAATACAAATACCTCTCTTTGTTTAAAAAGACACGTTGCTTCCTTGCTTATTCATTCAAAGCCTGTTTTCCAGTATATAGCTCGTTTTGATTGGTATTTTTAAAAGTTGTTTTTAGGACTTTGCTGTCGTGTGATTTGCTGAAGTACTTTCATGACTTCATTAGCTTAACATCACATGCATTCAAACACAGATTCATGCACAAATGTCTTTATAATTTATTATGTATGTGCTGTAGACACCTACGTAATAATTTATATTTTTACAGCAGTGTGATGCAGAAGGACTCATTGTACAGCACTGAGACACATTTTTAGTCTAACTTAATGAATGAATTAAATGAATTATAGCAATAAAAATCTCATCTCAGCCATAAATCATTGAAAATATCTTCATCTATCAGCGAATATGTCATTACTGTCTGTTTTGTGGATTTAAAGCTGTCATATACAGTTGTGGTCAGAATTATTGGCATACCGTAAATCTCTCCAGATCCTTCAGATTCCCAGTTCCATGTTGGTGCTGCTTCTCTTCAGTTAAGCTCACTCATTTTTCTGCAGGGTTCAGCTCAGGGGACTGGGATGGTCATGTCAGAAGTTTCATTTTGTACTCAGTGACACATTTTTAATGTTGATTTTTACGTTTGTTTTGGATCGATGTCCTGATGGAAGATCCAACCACGGCCCATTATAAGATTTCCAGCAGAGGCCGTCAGGTTTTGATTTTTTTTATCTGTAGGTTCTGTATGTGGTAGAATCCATGATGCCATGTATGTGAATGTCCAGGACCTCCAGCAAAAAATAGGACCACAACATTAAATATCCAGCAATATATTTAACATAGGGATGGGATACTTTTTATCCCTGTTTGCACACACACACACATATATATATATATATATATATATATATATATTTTTTTTTTTTCTTATGAACATAGAATCTGGTCCCTTTTGAAGTTCCATTCGTGTCTGACAACTGAATATGCTGGAGTTTTTATGTTGTTGTTTTTTGTTTTGTTTTGTTTTTTGATGAGTTTATTTTTTATTTTATTTTTTAGCCTTCTGACCTCAAGACTCAACTAATCTCTGCAATTCTCCATCTGTCATCCTTGGAGAGTCTTTAGCCATTCAAACTTTCACACGGTCCAGGCAGATTTGTAACATCTTTAGTTGATTGAGACTTCTTAATTATTGCCCTATTGGTGGTAATGGACATTTTCAATGCTTTAGCTGTTTTCTTACAGCCTCTTTCTATTTTGTGAAGCTTAATCTTTTGCTGCCAATAGAACTATATTCTTTGGGTTTACTCCTTGTGATGGATGATTTAGGGAATTTGGCATTTGTGTTTCCTCAGATTCATACTCCTGTGAAACAAGAAGTCATAGCTTGACAATTTCATGTTCCTAGTCACCCTGACTGTCACTCTGGTGTGCTAATAAATTTACATACTGTATAATGGGAATATACTTCAGAGAAATTTTACTCATAAAAAAATTCAAGGGTCCCAATAATTGTGACCAACGTGTTTTGGAGAAAAACATTTATTTCATAAAGTGATTTTCCCCCCCACTTTCAATTATTTCACTTCAATTGAAGGTTTGATTTTTACAAAAAAGATAAACAATGCAGATTTAATTTTACAGCCATCTTTGATCATATTGACCAGGGGTGCCAATAATTCTAATCACAACTGTATGAGCTCATATGAATGTAAACACACTCTGAACATGTACCAAATAAATCTATCTTTCGTGTACCACATCAAGCCTCAGATGGTAATTGTTCCTCCCCCTAAATATCTCGATTTTTCTATCATTAATCTCTTTAGGATCTGTCAGCTCGTGGATCAGCGGCTCAGCTTCCAAAAGGTTATGACCCTGAGCCTCTCGCTAAATACGGAACTCTCGACGTCATTTTCGACCATGACTCGTCTGACCATCGTCTGTCCGTCACAATAACAGCACTGACGGACATTCCTTCTCTCAAACGCACGGGTAACATCTCCTGGCAGGTGCATCTAGTGCTGCTGCCCACCAAAAAACAGAGGGCCAAAACCATCATCCAGCGTGGCCCCTGCCCCGTCTTTACAGAGACATTTCACTTCAGCCATATTGAGTCGGAGATGATCGGGAACTATGCCGTCCGGTTCCGCTTGTACAGCGTCCGCAGGATGAAGAAGGAGAAGGCTCTCGGAGAGAAGGTGTTCTACCTCACCAAACTCAACCTGCAGGGCAAAATGTCAGTCCCCATCATACTGGACCCCTGCTGCAACATACCTGTGAGTGTGATAAAAAGTGCACAAAAGTCTCAAAAATGCTTCTTTCTAATTTCATAAAAAGATATTTATCATAATGCGTAAAAAGATAATGTATATATATACATATATTTATATATATATATATATATATATATATATATAAAGAGTTCAGATGCAAAAGCCTCTAAGTGCCATTTGAAATTTTCTTCTAGAATGATCATTTTTATCAAGCTTGTATATTTAAGTTCAGTAATTTCACTTAAATGACAATTCATAGGTAATCTTCATTGCCATTTAAGTGAAATTACTGAACTTAAATATATGAGCTTGATAAAAATGATCATTCTAGAAGAAAATTTCAAATGTCAAAAGCCATTTGAAATGTCAAAATTTCAAAAGTCTCTAAGAGGCTTTTGCATCTGAACTCTTTATATATATGAATGATTCTATGACACTCATAGAATGATTTCTGAAGGCACAGCACTGAAGACTGGAGTAATGATGCTGAGTAATTTGCATTACAGGAACAAAATTTATTTTTAAAAGATATTAACATAGGAAAAAATTATTTTTCACAATATTAATGTTTTACTGTTTTTCATTAACGGCTTATTTGAAAAAAAATCTTAAATGTACCGTACATTGAAAAAAAAAAAAAATATATATATATATATAATATATATATATTCATTCTTTAAAAACTTTGTAAATGTTAAACTAAAATGATTTGTGTCCCAGGGCAGTGACTCTCAGGCAAGCATGTCAGACGTGTCGTGCAGTGAGACGGCCTCGTCGTTCCCGTCTGCCGGTCAGGGGGCGGCTCCAGAGATTCTGCTGGGGCTTGTGTACAACGCCACTACAGGACGACTCTCTGTGGAGGTCATCAAAGGAAGCCACTTTAAAAACCTGGCGGCAAATAAACCTCCCAGTGAGTCCAAGAGCTGCTCAACACGATTGCTTTAGATAGCCGTTCCAGAGCACTTCACCAACAAATTTGTCTTTGTATTTCCTGTATCAAATTATATAAGGATTGCAGGATCAAAACGTGTCACCTCTCACCTTTGACCCCAAAGGTGCCCGTAACCGTATGTTCCCTCTTTCTTTCTCGCTCTGTAATTTTCTGTCATATCACCCTTCTGATAAACGCTGCCCTAAATGACCTAACCTTCCCAAAGCTTCCATCACACTTCAGTCAAAGAGTGCAGTATAAGAGCTTTATGCCTTCAAAAAGCACTCATAACTCCATGTCATTAAACGTTATTCAGCCCATAGATTCAGACAGTGATATGAAATGGTGATGAAGGCTGCATGTCTCTCTTATGCATTGACCCTTAACCTGAAGTGATGCTGTGTGCTTTATGAACTCGTTACATCTGACCTAATGTCATTGAACCTTCAAAACCTTTTTACCTGCTTTTTTCCTCCTGCTGTTGTTGATATTCTCTCTCTTTCTCCCGATGACTGCCGATCCCCTCTGCTCTCGCTCACTCCTCTCCTGTTGTCAGACGGTTTGTTCTGTTGTCTAAAGCACTTGATAGGTGGGCAGGTGTACATAATCCGAGGTGAGTTTTCTGTGGCTACCTTTATCAGCATTGGACGTTGTTCATCCATCTTTCTTTTGTCACGCTACCTCGTTTCATCATCGATCCTCCTTAGTGTTAGACTGGCGAATACTTCTACATGGATGCTGAAGGTTTGATCTGTGGAAAATTTGAGCGCAAATGAATGTAAAAATATATACAGAAGGAAGATTTAGAAAACGTGAAGCGTGTTATCCATTTAGTCTTCATCCATGGAGAAGGTTCAAACGCTTTTCTTTATTTTAGACCATGTTATGTTGGATGGTGCAGTATGTTATTATTTTATCTGTCCTCTGATATCTGTCCTCTGTAGTGATATTTGCATGCGTCCCCCAACCTTGTGTCTTTTTTTATGATTTTATTTAAAACACATTTATTAGATCATTTGCTTGAATCATTTGAATTGTTCCCGTCATGTGACTGGTAGTTCTAGTCCAAGATGCCTGAGAGATGTAGAGGTCTTTGTAGGCATGTAGCCATGTGAGTGGTTCTTCTGTATGCAGACAGTGGGACATTTTATCTAGATCTGTTTGTGATCTGTATATCATGGTTCATTAATATAAATAATTTCCTTATAAAAATGAATTAGTCTGTAACTATGTTTAGACACTTTACACACATACTATATACATAATCTACACTCACCTAAAGGATTATTAGGAACACCTGTTCAATTTCACATTAATGGAATTAATTAATGGAATAACCAATAACAAAGCAGTTGCTTCAATGCATTTGGTCCTGGTCAAGACAATCTCCTGAACTCCAAACTGAACGTCAGAATGGGAAAAAAGGTGATTTAAGCAATTTTGAGTGTGAGATGTTTGTTGGTGCCAGACGGGCCGGTCTGAGTATTTGCTCAGTTACTGGGATTTTCACGCACAACCATTTCTAGGGTTTACAAAGAATGGTGTGAAAAGGGAAAAACATCCAGTATGCGTCAGTCCTGTGGGCAAAAATGCGTTGTTGATGCTAAAGGTCAGAGGAGAATGGGCCGACTGATTCAAGCTGGTAGAAGAGCAACTTTGACTGAAATAACCACTCGTTACAACCGAGATATGCAGCAAAGCATTTGTGAAGCCACAACACGCACAATCTTGAGGCGGATGGGCTACAACAGCAGAAGACCCCACCGGGTACCACTCATCTCCACTACAAATAGTCAAAAGAGGCTACAATTTGCAAGAGCTCACCAAAATTGGACAGTTGAAGACTGAAAAAATGTTGCCTTGTCTGAGTCTCGATTTCTGTTGAGACATTCAGATGGTAGAGTCAGAATTTGGCGTAAGCAGAATGAGAACATGGATCAATCATGCCTTGTTACCACTGTGCAGGCTGGTGGTGGTGGTGTAATGGTGTGGGGGATGCTTCTTGGCACACTTTAGGCCCCTTAGTGCCAATTGGGCATCGTTTAAATGCCACGGCCTATCTGAGCATTGTTTCTGACCATGTCCATCCCTTTATGGCCACCATGTACCCATCCTCTGATGGCTACTTCTAGCAGGATAATTTACCATGTCACAAAGCTCAAATCATTTCAAATTGGTTTCTTGAACATGACAATGAGTTCACTGTACTAAAATGGCCCCCACAGTCACCAGATCTCAACCCAATAGAGCATCTTTGGGATGTGGTGGAACGGGAGCTTTGTGGCCTGGATGTGCATCCCGCAAATCTCCATCAACTGCAAAATGCTATCCTATTAACATGGGCCAACATTTCGAAAGAATGCTTTCAGCACCTTGTTGAATCAAGGCCACATAGAATTAAGGCAGTTCTGAAGGCGAAAGGAGGTCAAACACAGTATTAGTATGGTGTTCCTAATACTCCTTTAGGTGAGTGTATAAAATATATAATATCAGTTTTTATATTTTGGGAAGAGAGTGCTTCACAAGGACAACTTCATTTTGGGATCAAAAAAATGCAAAAACTGTGGTACGCCACAATAACTTTGTCTCGTTTACAGCATTAATACATGCAAACAGATATGCATAATCCTAGTGTTTTCCATAACTTTAGCAGTGCAGATGACTAGTACTTTATGTACTGTCAACTTCCGAAGGTCGATGCCTGTGGCAGGAAGTGTTTAGACTCCTGAATAACTGCATCACAGAGGCTAATCAGCCTTCTTAAACCGCTATTGAACTCTTTCACATTCAGCCTGTGGAGCTGCAATGATTTCCTCAGTGCCAGGTATGAGTCTGCGTTCCCATCTCTGAAATCAGCGCTTCTTTAGCTCGGCTCTTCTATTAGTTAGAAAAATAGAGGAGAGTGAAACATTTTTTTTTTTTTTTGAAAATGCAGCAAGATGAACTCCACAGGAAGCCCGCACTGACACAAAGACATAGAGAATACTAATGTCTGTTGTATTCTAGTGTATTCAGGCAGGGCAGCAGAAAGCACACTGCGGAGTTCAAATGTGCTCTTAATTCAATCCCGTGAAAGGCCCCGTGCTGCAGCAGAGTCTGCTTTGAGTGCATCTGTAGAGTCGCAGTTCAAAAGGTTCCGAAATGAGAAGACAGAGGAGTGCTGTGGGACTCAATTATTAATCAGTAAGCATTGATTTGTGCCGTGCGCTAATGCAAAAAAGAAACTGAATGGCTCATTTTCAACCAATACATTTCATCCTGTATTAATGAATGGAATAATCAATTGCTTTTCAGATAAATTGAGAGATTGACGCATTGCCAGGCAGGAACCGTAGCATTGAAAACCTCCACGCTGGCAGAAGAACCGCACCATAACAATATCGTGTTACTTAATTTAACGTCTCAACTTCCGAACCTACAATTACTACAATAGTATTATGTTTTTGTAAATAATTTTTCACAGCTGAAAACTGTGATTATTGTGTTGTTGTTTTTATATATATATACTGTATATATATATATATATATATATATATACCATTTATTTTAATATTTTAAACGCAATTTTTTTATTTTTGTCTTGTTTTCCTGTAAAAATGTCTAAACTATTTTAAAACAAATATTATCTTATGCCACTTTTTTTTAAAGTCCCCCTGTTGTCATATATTTAATACCATCTTTGATGACCAAAATGACATATTTTAGCATTTTTCCCTTTTAAATTATGCCTTAAATTACCTTGAATGTAACTCTACACTCTTGCCTCATTTAGTATACGCTGTTCTACGACTATGCAAATTAGCCCCACCTTTACTCACTCACACCAGCTCAGAGATCTTCTCGTTGAGTATCACATTGATGTGATTGGACCACCAGTGATTTCAAACCACGTTTCTGAGACAGTCTTTGGTTCACTGCGGTTTTAAGAAGAAAATACTTTGCAATGATGTTTACTTCTGAATTTACACATGGATTTGTTTTAAAGTATATTAACATATAAGACATATAAACAATATTAAAACCTTGAACAAAAAAAATGTGTGAGATTTACCCTAAAAAAATCTATTTCCCACCGGTGTAAAAACTGATAAACTTAATTCAAGATATATTTTCTTTAATAGGTTATAATATTAAAACATTTTTTACATATTTTTTTCACTGGAAAACAAAATCAAAATACTGGTTACGATTTTTTTTCTCTCTCTCAAATTTCTCAAAGTACTCTTTTGGTTTGGTTTGGATGGACTGATTAAAAGTTTTAGGACTACTGGTCATAGAATGAAAGTTTATCTGACTGACATCCTGTTTAATCCTGTTTCAGACACTTATGTAAAGCTGACTCTACTGAACTCAATGGGTCAGGAGATGTCCAAGTGCAAGACATCGATTTGCCGCGGCCAGCCCAACCCCACCTACAAGGAGACCTTTGTGTTCCAAGTAGCTCTGTTCCAGCTCTCTGATGTCACGCTCATCCTGTCGGTCTACAACAAGCGCAGCATGAAACGCAAGGAGATGATTGGCTGGATCTCTCTGGGGCTGAACAGCTCTGGGGAGGAGGAGCTAACACACTGGACTCAGATGAAGGAATCGAAAGGACAACAGGTGTGTCGATGGCACAGTCTTTTGGAGTCCTAGAATGTCAGTAAGTGACTGCAACGATATGTGTAATGGAGTTGGGGGACCAAGAGCAGGTCAGGCCCTCGAACGGTCCCGAATCGACAGAGCTGGCCCCCAACTGCAGTGCATTATGAGAAACGCGAGCAGTTCTGGGGATGCAATCTGCTTTCTTTCCCAATGCATTGCAGGAAATGGGTTTGAGAAATTATGAAAACATGGTTAGATGCCACACCGTTAATGGAGAAAACACTAATGAGACAGAGTTTTATGTTTATTTGGATATTTATTTGCATATTTTCTGACTTGACTTGATGTTTCTATTTTATTTTTGTTCTGCTTAAGATAGTTGTAATGTTTCCAAAGGGTTAATGAGAGAAATGATGAATGAATATATGTGTAAGATCCAAGATCTGCAAAGATGAGGCAAGTTAAAATGTCTTGGCTGAGATGATAAACTGGCATTCTGAGATTATAATCCATTGACCTTAAAGCAGGAGTAAAATGACTGTCCGGTTGACTACTGTTTGTGCCATTCTGAGGCAATTTTAATGGATACTCTGACAGATGTGCAGGGTCTGGCTTTCCTTGACATTTGAACAGATTGTCTAGATCTAATTCTAATACATAATGTGGTTCATTCCACTTTGAAATCTACTATCAGAGTGCCAATCCAGACTTCACTGCATACAGTCTGTCATCCGGCTGGCATTTATATGTCAGCTATTTTATTCCACTCATTCTAAATGTAATACCTTGCAATCAGAAACATGCCACAAAATAGAATAAATAATAGAAAAATATTCTTTTCATTCTCAATATGACAATAACAGCCAATAAGTAGCCTATAGAACCTTTCATGTGTTAACTGGGCCTATAGATTTCTAGACGAAACTTACAATATTGATTTAATATAATACATATTTAATATAATACATTAATAATAAAAATATGAGATATAAAATATAAAATATATTAAATTATTTGTTAACTTGTACAGTCATGATATGGAACGCATATTATTAGTTTTAAATCTATTTATTTTATATACATGAAAACCTTGTAAAATAGATGCATTTATTAATTTATTTCAGTTTACCAGCAAATAGGTAAGCTAAGTGAACTGCTTTCATATTAAACTATATATTATAGAAGAAAGCCCTTACAATAAAATAATATAATGCAAATTCATATTTGGTCATGTTGACCAAAATGCTTTCACCACTGTAAAAAACTGTTCACACCAAGAATAGCTAAAAGGATAAGTATAATGATAACTATAGTTACAGACGACATGTTCTGTTCATTGTAAACGAGATTCAGCCCATACAATATATTCAGACAGTGATGTGAAATGGCTCATTTTACAACTCCCTCAGAGTTAAACAATTGAGTTTTACCGTTTTCGAATCCATTCACACAATTTTCTGAAATTTAGAAGAATATCAGTAACCAGACAGTTTCTGGTCTCATTGACTTCCATAGTATATATTTTTTTTCCTATTATGGAAGTCAATGAGACCAGAAACGGTCTGGTTACTGATATTCTTCTAAATATCAGAAAATTGTCTGAAGGGATTGGAAAATGGTAAAACTCAACTGTTTAACTCTGGGGGAGTTGTAAAATGAGCCTTTTTCCACCTCTTTAACCTGAAGTGATGCTGTGTGCTTTATGAACACGTTCATGTGTCGCTTGCCACTTAATTTCCCAAGCGTGTTAAAGCAGTGTGGATTCTGATTGGCTGTCAATGTTTTAATCATTCTTCGGCTAGGGAAATCTGATTCCAACAATATCGTCCCTCTGTGTTGTTATCGTCCACACTGTGTTGACTCGTTGAATGAGAAGGGTAATTCAACCGTTATAGTCATAGTTATGGTCTTTGGTGTGAACAGGCCTAAAGTCTTGTGGAATACAGTAAACTCTTTGTTGACTTCGCTGACTTCTGCTGGTACCAAATCAATGTCCTAGACACGCCAATGTTTGAGTTTTGACAAATAGGATTTAAAAAATGATGACTTTGACTTTAGAGCCATGAGACCTTACTAAACCATTTTTGAGTAGTTGCTAACATGTGTTGAAATGAAGAGTTAACGCCATACTTTAACAACAGACTGTTCCCTCTTATCTTTTGTATTGAATTTGTGCGATCTTACGATCCTGAATGTTGAATTTGAGTACCTGAGAGACTCAACAATCAGTACTGCAACACTAGAGATACAGACTGCCAGTGTTCTGGCTAAATGTCCTGTAGAGGACCTGTATGAAACTGTGAGGATGTTTAAAGTACATGATGATGAGGAGGCTTCTCGGCGCTTTTGCTCTGTCTTTTCAAGTGTCCTGATCTCTGTGCGAAAAACTGTCTTGAACTAGTTTCTTTCCTTTCTTGAGCGATGGTCAAACTCACTCAGTGATTGTTACGTACTGTAAACGGCACAGATTTTGCTGATCTATTTTTGTATCTATATATTTGAGAAAATGGACTCACTTTCTTGGTAAATGTATGAAGCTCTGTGAGCAGTATGGAGTTGTAGACTTTGTTCTACTTTCACAGTTCAATTGGCTTTATGCCCAGCTAAACTACTTCCTGAACTTCAGCCAGCTCCTTGTTTCCTGTCTCCCATTATTGGCCAAATTGATTAATTCAGGTGTGTCTGATTATTGTTGCCATGACTACTGAGGTCAGGCACACCTGGATTAATCAATTTAACCAATAATGGCAGACAGGAAACAAGGAGCTGGCTGAAGTTCAGGAAGTAGTGCAGCTGGGCTTAAAGCCAATTGATATTTGGTACTATTTGGTTAAAGGAACTGTTTTATTAGTGAATGTGTCAGTCATTCAATGTACCGTTTCTAAATATGACAAGATAAATGTTAAAAAAAAATGTATCTTCCCTGTTACAGTTGCAGGTTGATAGAAAAAAGTGTGAAACAAGAGGGTGTAGTTTGTGTGATGTTGCATATTGTCATATGTATTCTTAGCTCTGTTGATGTCGTCATTTCAGTTGACGTATGAACCTGTTTACTCCCATCAAAAAAAAAGAGAGAGCAGAAAAAGGTCAGCAACTCTGAGCTGGTATGTTTTGTAGGACCTAAATTAAGCACATTTTTAGGGCACATAAAGGGAGTCATTAAACACATCTTGTGAAAGAGTCAGACTGTAACGGTCTTCAGAGAGTCACAACTGGACAATATCTTCCACAAAACACATAGCTGGGCTGAACTTTCTCTCTCACGCTGGGAGATGTTCTCAGTTTCTTCTTGGCAAACTGAGTAGATAGTCCCAAAATTTTATTTTACCATTCTGTCGACCATTAAGCCTGAGAAAATGCCACAGCTGTCAAAATTGTGATGACATAATACAGCAAAATGTTGAAATGTAGGATGTTAAATGCGTTATGACTAGAAAACAGGGAACACTGTTGCCTCCTACAGATATGGCTTCCAAATTATTTTCCCACGATACAGTAAATGAGAATTTGACTGTACCTGCAGTCCCTTCGGCTCAACCCTGCCAGTAGCTTCACCTGTCCATCTTTAAAGGGACCGTTCCCCCTAAAAAATTTTTTTTTCAAAATTTGTCGTTTATACACTCTCATGTTGTTCTAACCTTGTATTATTCCATGAAACACAAAATGAGATGTTAGGCAGAATGTCCAAGCTGCACTTTTCCACACAACAAACATCCTGATTTCTTTTATGTCAGAATATAACTGCTATTTTCCAGGTGTTTCCAAGAAATTATATGGTAGTTTTTACAGAACAGACCAAATTTGAACTCAGTTTACTGATAATCATCCCTTCTGCCAGAACTCGTTGTGTGTAAAAGTGCCTTTTTTATTGACTAAAAGCACAATATACACTGATAATCTTTCCTTCTGCCAGAACTCTCAAATGTCATTTGACTTAGATTGAACTGTTGCACACACAAATCTGTCACAGTTTTTGATGGAAGTCTCTTATGCTCACCAAGGCATTTTATTTTAATACATTTTAAAATTTAATTTATTCATGTGACCATAAAGTTGATTACTCCAGTCTTCAGTGTCACATGATCCTTCAGAAATCAGATTTGGAAATGCTGATTTGGTGCAGACAGAACAAGTTTTTGTAGAAACTGTGATGCATGTTTTAGGGTTTCTCTGATGAACAAAAAGTAAAAAAAAAAATTGCATTTACTTGAATAGATTTTGTTGTATCGATGTACTGTAAAAGTATTTGCTGTAACTTTCGATCAATTTAATGTATCCTTGCTGAGTAAAAACTTTAATTTCTTAAAACAAACAAACAACAAAACGTACTGACCCCAAACTTTTACAATAGTGTTTGTCTTTAAAATCTAGAATATAGAACATTTTTGTGTCCATTTTATATCATATAGCAAACGCTCTGCTGTGTCTTTACAGCTTGACAGATGAAACGGCATTTTCTCTTATAATGTTTAATGTGTGTGAATGAGTCCGAACAGTGCCTGATGAAAGCTCACAGCTGTCACACCTCCTCTCCCATAAGGCTTGTCCACAGCTCTTCAGAAGTCTGTAAGCGAGAAGACAACAGACCAGTGATGGTCATTTTAGGAACCCATCTTATTCTTACTCAGTGACTGAGGTTCTGTTCAATTTACAGAACTAATAAACACCAGCATAAAAATGTTTTAGGATTTATTGCGCATTAAGCACTCTACCTTTGCTCTCTGTGTCCCAACATGATTCAGGTGTAACATGCCACTGACACCTTCAACTTTCACAAGGTGTGTTCCAACTAAAACCAGTTTTAAACAATACATGTTCTGAACATTGTGTATGTGTTTCAGATTCTTTTTATTTTGCTCTTTCACTTTATTCTCAAAATGCTTTAAATGAATTGCCTATTTACCCACCGATTCAGTCGGTGCCTTACTTTTCTCTGGAGAATGTTTTTATGATGTTTTTGAAACGTTGCAGCATTCCTATACAGCGATGTTATGTCACCTTGTGTATTCATACTTCTGTACAACTGCTGTAGTTTGATTTGTAAATGAAGTCTTACATGATACATTAAAAAGAAACATTTGTATGTGATTCTGTTTTGAAAAGATTTATCTGCTAATAGTCTCTGTCTGTCTGTTTTATTATATTAACACAGTCTCATCCCAAAAAGTCATATAACTGACGTCTTGGGACGTTTTTTGACCATACGTCAATATCCGCCTTTTTAGGGCCCCCTTAAACGTCGGTAGATGGCGATCCCGGGCCGTCATACAACTGATGCTTTACCTTTAACGTCAGTTAGGTGACGGGTTAGGTTTAGGGTTAAGTTTAGGTCTGGGGTAGAGTTAGGATCCCATAACCTCATCTACCGACGTTTAAGGGGGCCCTAAAAAGGCGAATATTGACGTATGGTCAAAAGACGTCCCAAAACGTCAGTTATATGACGTCTTGGGATGAGACCGGGTTGATTATATCAATGCGTGCTTGTCTAAAGTATAGGATTTCATGTAATTTAGGCTCAAGTAGACCATTTATACTAGGACGCACCTACTCAGTCTTAAAAGTTTTTTTTTTTTTTTTTTTTTTTTTTTACAATCTCTATAGGACACATAGTCCCGTGGATCAGAGATCAGAGCAACTTAAAACACATAGCCCTGTGGATCAGAGATCAGAGCAACTCAAAATTTCGACCCGAAAAAAAAAACGACAGTGGTACCCCTTACGTTTTTTTGTTTGTTTTTTTGGTGCAAAAAATACGTTTGGATTCTGATACAGGGCTGGATTCTGATAGAGGGCCATGAGACTCAGACCTGAGTGCAAAAATGGAGGCTCTAGACCCTTCCAGAGCTGAGATATTGAGATATTTATAATTGCATAAATGCTACGTGGGATGTCAATATCTCAGCTCTGGAAGGGTCTAGATCCTCAATTTTTGCACTCAGGTCTATGTCTCATGGCCCTCTATCAGAATCCAGAGTTTCAAGAAGATCAGAGCAACTCAAAATTTCGACCTGAGAAAAAAAAAAAACGACCCTTACGGTTTTTTTTGGTGCTAAAAAATAAGTTTCTCCAATCTTCTTGAAACGCTGGATTCTGATAGAGGGCCATGAGACTTAGACCTGAGTGCAAAAATGGAGGCTCTAGACCCTTCCAGAGCTGAGATATTTATAATGGCATAAATGCTACGTGGGACATCAATATCTCAGCTCTGGAAGGGTCTAGAGCCTCCATTTTTGCACTCAGGTCTAAGTCTCATGGCCCTCTATCAGAATCCAGCGTTTCAAGAAGATCAGACCAACTCAAAATTTCGACCCGAAAAAAACCCGACAGTGGTACCCCTTACGTTTTTTTTTTTTTTTTTGTGCGAAAAAATAAGTTTCTCCAATCTTCTTGAAACTCTGGATTCTGATAGAGGGCCATGAGACTCAGACCTGAGTGCAAA